AATCATCATCGTCATCGTCATCATCGTCATCACCGTCATCATCATCAATCATCATCATCGTCATCATCAATCATCGTCAATCATCATCTTCATCGTCATCATCATCCTCATCCTCATCGTCATCAATCATCATCAATCATCATCATCATTACGTTTGCTTATTTGTTATTTGCTTGTTTATGCTAGGTACATACACATACTGGACCGGAGGGTGTTTCAGAATCTATATTCAAGGATAAAAATCCTTCGGCGGCATAAGACACAATGGGGACTTGACTGCACAGCTACTGACTTCCTAGCCTCCTTTTCTGGATTCTCACAGGTTCTCAAGATACCTGACTTTTGAAAAATAAATTCCCTTGTGCTTATTACTTATTTGTCTCTCTTCTTAACTTACTTTCCAGCAGGCAGCGGAGAGGGGGAGCCAAAAATATCTCTACTGAGCTGAGGAAAACAAAAATCCCACTGGATTGCAGTGAAGTAAAGAAAGTGTTATTCGCAGATTAGCAGCAATTCCAGAGGGAGAGTTTGAACTTTGCATCACCCACTAGACACCGCTGACATTCTCGGAGCGGCTGTCAAAGGGACGGGGGCAGGACGTCCCTCATGGTGGCGCCCCCGCGTCACGCCCCTTACCTTTCGATTCGGATTTCAGGAGGTGTCGGAGCTGGAAACCACCCCAATACGTAATCGATCACGTAAAGCTCGACATGCCCTGGAGAGGGGTCTTAGCCGTAGGACACAGAGATCCTGCCCGAAGGCGGAGTCCAGGTCCTCGCCAGGTCCCTGGCTGTGAGCACCTCGGTAAGAGCGATTTCCTTAAACACCCCCGGAGGTGGGGTCCAGCCATCGCCACAGAACAGTCCCTGATTCGAGGCCCGATTCGGCTAGTGAGCAATCTTCCACAGAGCTTTCCTCCTAGCTCACGGCAAGACTCTTAAACTAACACCTTCCATGAGGAGCAAGTCGGTTTTAACTCTAAACATCCTACTGCAAACCACAGTATTCTCTGTATCATATGGACAAGAAAGTGCTAAAGACACTTTTCTAGAGCATTTTTTCCATCTCTCGTCAACCTTTGATTTTATAGATAGTACTTGTCAATGAATGACAATTGTTTCTTCAGAATTTTACCATAAACTTTAATGTCAAGCTTATATGACGGAAGAATGGTCTTTAGTTAGATGAAACACCAGAATTAAACGGTATAAAACTAACTTTCTGTCTCTTCTTTTTTTTCCAAAAGAAAGTTTTTAATGTTATAAAATGATACCTGCCCACCTACAAAAATTAAGCTATGGAAAAATAAAAAGAAATTCAGTGTTAATATTTTAGAACATCCTTCTAAGCATCTCTCTATGTAAATATATACATATGGACATGCAGTTAAACAATTTTCATAAAAACAGTTATACTAAATATACGCTTCTATGTGGTTTACCAATATAGCATAAACATTTTTCCATGCACATAAGAATTTCCACTAAACATTACTTCAATAAATATGTAGTATTTCATTCACTATATGGATATAATTAATTTATTTAATGAGATCTATGCTGTTTGCAATTTAGATTACTTTCAAGTTTTCATATTTCCAGGAATCTGCAGTGATCATCCTTGGTCATCTCTGCTCATCTTGTCTGATTATCTCCTCCCAATAAATACCAAGATGTGAGACGGCTGAGCCAAAGGATACACACGGTTAAAATCACCCACGTGCTGCCCTATTGGCCACAAGAGAGACAATGCCACTCACATTTCTTCTCCGAATGCAAGAGAGTGTCCACTTTCCCCTCATCTTACTCTCCAATTCTGGGTTTTAAAAACCTGTACCGACATTAAGATTTTCCATCCTTTATTTAACTTACATTTCTTTGAGGATTTGTATATTGAGTTATATATTTATATATTTACATTTATTATTTTTGTTTACAGTGTTTAGCAATTTTTCTTTTTCTTACTGATTCTTGACAACTGGTGGTAAAGTGGGAATAATCGCCCTTTATAAACTGTGTTGCAACTCTGTTTCAGTCTGTCGTGTGCCTTTCGGCCTGGATTATGATGGTTTTATCAATAAAGAAATTTTAAATTTTACATAGCCCAATTTACAAATTTTTTTGTAGTTATTTCTGACATTTGGGCCATCCTGAGAAAGGCCCTCCTTACCTGAGTACTACAAAAATGATCGCTCATACTTTCGAGGCTCTAAAGTTTTATTTTTTACATTGAATCTGGAATTTGTTTTGGTAAAAGCAGCAAAGCAGGAATCCAGCCCTTTCTCTCCCCAGCGCCCACCGTGACCACCCAACACCACTTACGAAACGGGCTACGTTTCTCACCCAGTGACTTGAAATTCACTCCTACTCCCACCTATCTGTCTTCCTTCCTTTTCTCCTTCCTTCCTTCCTTTTTTCTATTTTAACAATAATAAATCCAACTATCACAGGCCGTGCGCCCTCTTGCCACGCAGAGAAAGGATAAGCATTATGCTCGTGACATGGTTTCGAACCATACTGTGAGTGGTCTTAAGCTGAGACTGACCTTGTCGGCTCAGTGCTACATAAAGGGAAACCATGGCATGGACTGACTGAAAACAAGTCATTACACTTGGCGAGCACTCCACAGCCCTTTAGATAAGCAACACAGAATAACCCTGATCGTAAGACAACTCAGCCATGTGGGGTTTTTCTGTGGCGCTAATGCTTCCCTGTGGGTCCATACGATGTAAGTCCTCCCCAAATTAGACAACATGCAGACACCATCCTGAGCCTCCTTCATGGCTGAGGAAGGTCACTGGGAACACCTGCCCTTTAAATCGCTCGAGTTCCAAGAAGTTTTCCTGCGCTTTATGGATCAGAATCCTGGATGCTATGACAGTTTGCACGAGGGCGTGAGGGCATTCGGAGGTCTGATTCTAAGCTCTGCTTTTGAGAAGCGTTTTGGTCCCACCCACAGGCACCGGCCGGCCTCTGGGGTCGGGTCGGAGCGGAACGGCTCTCTGTCCGGGCATCCACAACCGTGGGGCCGATTGTCCATGTGGAGGAGGGAGCCCTGCCACCCACTCTCCTGGCATGTTAAGTCCACAGACGCCTCTGACCTAAAAATGGTATGATTCATATTCACGTGACCAGAAACTTAGCACCTGCCCAGAAGACGCCCTTCGACCCACGAGCGAGAGCCCTCGCCTACTGTGCCGTAAAGAAGGGACCTTTCTTCCGTTATTAGCGTTAACGATCGTGTCCCACCTCTTCTGGGTCGAGATTCCACGCTGCACAGAGGCAACATCACACACACCCGTACAGACCGCCACGATGTCTTCTGGAAAACTGTAGCCGAGGACAGCCTGTCATGTGCGTCTCACATAAAGGACCTGTCACCTACCAGTGAGGTCATCCATTTAGATGACTCGCACACTGAGCTCCTGAGTTCCCTGTTTTGCTCACTCTCCTTTAAATGTTTTCCCTTGTGTTTTAACACCGCGAGCTCCTTTCAGTCAGTGTTTGAAGAAGAGGGAATATAAGCTGCAGAAATGAAGAGACTTCAACGGTTGTGCTCACCGCTGCGTTTCCAGTACCTAGAACAGCGCCAGCCCAGTCAGTGAGAATAATGGATTGGAGACCGGCGCACGCGCACGTGCACACGCACGCGCAGGAACGGGAACGCCTGGGTGTGTCGTGCAATGGTCCAAAGGTAAAGAAAGGCTTGGTTTGTGCTCCCCTCCGTTCACTCAGTAAACCTCCACTGCATGCCTACTGTGCGCCAGAAAACCCCTGACACAGCCGCTGCTCTCAAGGACTCATAAAGCCCCTAGGGACAGCCGAGGGCCCTTCACGTGATCATGGCATGGTGCAGCGAGTCCGACGGGGGGACATGAGTGCGGACAGTCCCGGGGGCCAGCTGGGGTCACGGGAGTCGGGGCCGGGGAGTGGGCACTGCTCTTCTGGAAAAGGCTGCGGCCAGGTGAGCCTCCGAGGATGCGCAGGAGGTAGCTGTGGGGTGAGGGGACGGTGCCGAGGGCGGAGGAGGACCGGAGGGAACCGCAGGCGGGGTCAGGAACTAGAACGAGCTGGACGTGGCGGTGGCACTAACAGACAGGAAGCGGTGACAGGTGACGCAGTAGCGGAGCCTGGCACAGCCCGAGCGCCTCGGGCTCGTCCCCTCGGCAGTGGGGAGCTCCGGCGGGCCTCGGTGGCGCAGTGGCCTGGTTCCATCTCGCCACGGGTGGGTCGCCCTAAAGGCGGGGTGGAGCCTGGACCAGCGCGAGAGGTGACCGGGGGTCGAGGGGCCTGGCGGCCCAGCTGAGAGTGGGAAGAACCTGGGACCGCACGAGGTGACAGGGGTGCAGAAACGCAGAGGGGAAGCGCCTGGGAGGAAACCCTGGACTTTCATCCCGCACTTCCCAGTGACCAGCATTTTCATCCTTCACGACGACCGCTATTCTCAGATAACTTCGAAAGATCTTGTTTGGCTAATTTTTCTTCTACTGCCTTCTCTGGCGTACTTTGTTCCCAGTGTTTTTTTATGACAATTCTTGATGCAAAAACCAGAAAGTTACGACCGCGACAGCCGTCGTGACAAAGCACAGCCACTCCTCCGCTTGCTCAGGGGAGCGGCGGTCGGGAACGCGGACCGCGAACCTCGCTAGAGTTACCGCTGGGGGGACGCAGATCTAGGCAGAAAGCGTGTCTTAGCGATGTCCGAAAACATACTTGTCGGGTTTATTTAATCCTTCCGCGGCAACGGGAAGGACTTCAAGGTCATCGCACAGACCTACCCAAACGCGTACACTTAAGATGAAAAGAATAAATCATCTTTAAAATATGTTTTAGAATACGACAGACTAGAGAAGCAACACTTTCAAAAACGCACTGCCCCTGCCCACGATCTTCCAAAAGAATACTCCTCCCAGCCATCTTTTCTCTTTTCCAGAACGATGCAGAGACGGTGAGTTACAAAGTGACCTTCCGCAGCCACCACCACCACCTGACCCGTGTCACCTTGTGCACGATGAGTTCGTGAGTTCCATCTGGGAGGGTCCTGCCGTCCTCCTGCATCAGGGGCACGAACGAGAAACCAAACAACTTCTTCTCTCCCTTCTCCTTCGCTAGGGAGAAAAAAAAAAAAGGAAAAAGAGAAAAGAATTACTCATTTGAGCGCCTGCTGACGTGACTCTGGAGATAAGCACAGCGTCAAGACGCGTGAGGATCAAGAAACAAAACCCACACTCCCCGCTCCTTTGACGCAGCAGAGGCCAGCTCTGAAGCTGGGCTCTGTCCCCAGCGGCCCCCTCCAGCCCCATTCTCCTGCCCCCTGATTGATCTGCAAGTCACATTCCCGGGCTCATTCTCCTCGTGGGACTTATGACCTGAAATGATGCTTTTTACATATTTGTGCAGTGGCTGTTTCTTCTTGCATCTCGCCTTGCACTCGCAGATGTAAGCTCGGGGGTGGGGGGCATTCCTACCTGCCGTGTTCTGTCCTGAGCCAGGTATCTCAAGGAGTGACAACAAAAGGGGAGGCTCTCAGCAAGTACATGTGAACCAAATGCATGACGCACGCGTGTGGGACGCAGTGTTCTGCCCACCGCTCACGGACAGAGTCCCTAAGCTCCTGTCCACGGTGGACACAGGTGTGCAGACAGCCCTGTGGGAGCCCCCTGGTTGGGACCAGCTGGGTGCGCTGGAAAACCGCAACATGAGTGGCAATCCACAGTTTGAGAAGGGCTTACACAGTATGTTCTGGAAGCCTGCGATGAGGCGATGAGGTTTCCAGAGGCCTAATTACCAATTAAAATGGCTGCCACTGTCAAGGATCATTAGGCATCATTTACAGATGTGAGGGAACTTGTTCTAGATCTCTGAAATACCATTCCAGTTCTTTCCACCGAGCTTTTTTCTCCAAAAAAAATGGAGCAAGCTGTGAAAGAACCTTATTTGTTCACCTCCAGTCTCCTGCATGGAGCAGGGAGGAGTTCTCTGGGGCCGGCAGCCTATTAGGGCCTGGGCAGTTGGTCTTTCTCAGGGAGTGGACGTGACAGCTGACAAAGTCCAGCCATGGGAGGCGGTGAGAGCAGAGCTAGACGCGTTAGCCGGGGCGAAGGCCGGACGAGAGGCTTCAGGGACCATCACTCCCCTCCGACACCTCGCCACAGGGAGGGGGACCCCACGCACAAAGAGCGATGCTGCCTGGCGGATCTGGCCCCTCGCGTGAGGTTATCCCCGGAAACGTAATTATAGCAAGGGGTTTTCTTTTACAATCCTTCGTTTATAATCCAGAGAAACTGGGAAAATAGCAATATTCTGTAAAATTAAGCAAAAATTGCAGGAAAAAAAGTCTCTGGAAGAGATTTCTACATCAGTGAGGTGCTGGGTATGGAACTTATGATTTCGGGGAGAAGACTAATTTAGAAATAATTTCCTAAGTTTATCTGACTATCTCTTAGGTGTGGTTTTTAATATTTAATTCAGAGAAATAAAAAAATTCCATGGTGAATAAAATTAGCAAAGATAAGAAACAAAGCAATGTTTTCCCTAAATTCTCTTTCTGTTCTAAAATAAAAATAACTGTTTAAAATACAAGGTCTTTTGTCCTGAGCTGTTTGGTCAGGATTAACAAACTGTATGAACTGTTGTAGACAATACGTATAATATGATCCCCTTGTACTGATAAAACCCTAAACTCATGGATTCTACCTCCTGATCGTCTAACTCATTCTTTCCAGTACCCCACCTCCAACGATTCGGGCCCCCTGGGACCTCCAGCCTATTGATTCTCCCCCATCGCCCCTGCCGCTCTCGACTTGCCATTTCTACGGTCTGTCGTTCGAACCTCTTCTGTGCGAATACCCTCAGCACAGAGTACCTGGTTAAGTCCCACTGGCAGCTCATTCATGGCTGTCCTAGACCAACCCACTTTACTTAATGCACACGACCTGCACAGGGCAACCTGTCTACACGGACCTAGCCAACTCACTCTTCCACTTTTCTAGACAAGTATTTCATCCCTTCTCCTCTCTTCTCGAGCCTTCAAGGCCTCCACACTCCCCTCACTCTCAGCTGACGGACAGAGAGTCCGCACACACTCCAGCTTCCCCCTCTACCTCGCCCACGCCTGTGCCTTCCTGCACTCTGCCTGAGCGGTCCCACCCCAGGGCAAGTCTCAATCTTGAACGCTGAGCCCTGTGCTCCCTCCCAGCTCGAGGATGCTGCTCCCCAGGTATCTTTCTCCCACACCATCCATATTTTCTCCTCTACTGAACCAAACCCACCAATAAACATGTTTTAAAAGGTCCATCTTAGACAAGGAACGAACCCTCCTGCGGCCCGGTGTTCCGTTACAGCTGCTACCCCACCTCTCTGCTGTCCCGCATTCTTCACCGCAAAGCTTCTCAAAAGACCCGGCCGTACCCGCTGCCTGCCCTCCCCCATCCAGCTCACTCTGACTCACTCCTGCCAGGCTTTCCTCACTACGAAGCCACTGAAACCACTTGTCAGGTTCAAGGACGTCCACAAGGCCAAGTCGCAGGATAGTGTCTCTGTCCTCATCTTATTTGTCACCGGCACCTAACACGTCTGATCATTCCCCTCCTGAAACACTTGCTTCACTTAGCCTCCTGGCTTCTCCTTCGGCCTCGCTGGCCATTCCTTCTTAATCTCTCACTCTCCAGAGATCTTTCCCCAAGTCCAAGTTCAGTGACACGATGCTGAGAGCTTGAAATTGGCCATGGTGGGAGTATTTACACCGTGGCAATCAGCAAACACTGTCGTTTGGGGCTGACTCCAAGCCCTCTCCACACCGCTGAATACTGGTTATTAAACATTTACAGCAAGACACTGAACTATATGTTCTTACTCTCGAGTTTAAGTCTCTGGCTTGGAACTCACTCGACTGCCTATGTGACCAATAGACTTCTCAGACAGAACAAGCCTAAAATGGAATGTACGGTTTCTGCCACCCTAACGGATTCTTGCTGTTACCTCCCCACTCCGTAATTGACTGTTTCATTCTCAGGACAAAATCTTGGGGTCATCCTTGACTTTCCTCCTTCTTTTGCATCCAATCTGTCAATAAATCTGTAAAAACCATGCAAATCCTAATGCAAATCACTGTAATCTGAGTGGCAGGACCGAGAAAGCCTCCTGAAGGGTCCCCCTGCTCCCACCTGGCCCATCTCCAACCTCCTACCTGTACAGCAGCCAGACTTCCCTTCCATCTAAACCCTCCACCAGCTCTCCTCACCCCGAATAAGATCCGCAGTCCTCCTCACGACCCCAAAGACAACACAGACCCCGCTCCTCTGCCACCTCACTGGCTCACCTCCAAACTCCCCTGCTCGTTCTGGCCTCCCTGTTACTCCTCGAAAATGCCAAGCACGGTTCAACCCGCAACCTTTTGGAACTTATTCTTCTCTCTGCCTGGAATATTCATCGCCCAGATACCCTGGGCTCACAGCCTTCCTTCTTTTAGATCGCTGCTGACTTGACACGTCTCCTTATCAAAGAGGTCTTTCCTGACTACCCCGCCTACAACGGCAATACACAGCATCACCTGCTGGCGCCTAACCCCAGCTTCGCCTTCTCCCCTGTTCCCTTCCTGCGACCTGACGCGTTCTGCATGTCTTTGCTCACACGCGTTGTCTACCTTCCCTCTCTGGAACGGAATCCCGACGAGAGGAGTGATCTGGTTGCATCCACCGATATATCTTCAATGCCCAGGAAAGTGCTGGACATACAGTAGGTGTTCAAGAAATGTTTGTTTGATGAACGAATGATATTTCTGAATAAATATATGTACATACAGAGAAACGTTTGGAAGCTCACGTGATAAAATGATTACCTGATCATCCGTAATTTGTGGGATAATGGGGATTTTTTTCTCTATGTTTTTGCTATATCTTCTGACTTTAACAATGAATATTTTTTAAAAAACCATGAACATGTTTGAAGTATAAAGACAAGAGGGCAGAGATCTGACAAGTTTCACTAAAAACAGCCTTTTTCCACTTCCCAAGTTCTGAGTTATAACAATTTTCTTCAAACGCCCATTCTCCCTTTCTCTCATTTCCTTTACTTTCTTCTCTCTTTTTATTACTTTAAAGCTCAAAGCTCGTTTTAAGCCCAACTGAGAATTTAAAACAAAGACCGGCAGAAGGGACGGCATGGTGCCCTGCCCAGTTCTGAACGTTTCCCCCCTTCGAGAGCTGCCCACGAAACTCCTCTGGGAACCTGGGAGACTAGCGAGGCTCTGCTATTCTCCCTACATCCTGAAGCACCCGCAAAAGCATAATTTACGGAGCTGCTGAGCCGATTCAGAAACGTGCTATTGGTCCCAGCAAACAGCCCACATCCCTCTCTCCCCCTGAAGCGTGGGCGAGTGACCCAGCGCTCAGGTCGAGGCTGCATATCTGTGGGCCGCGCCTCCATCCCTCAGACAGGAGCCTGCTGCTTCCGGCCGTGTCTGAGGTACACTTCAGTGACACGGGGAGCACCAGAGGACCCCTGGACTGGAGGTTCCCTGGGGGCAGAGAGTAGGGGTTTGAGAAGGTGGTGATGAGTACAAAAGAATTAAAATAGAGAAGTCAAGAGAAGACAGCTTTACGGGTCGTGATGTTTACCTGGACAAATTCTGTAACATCTCCACGTCTTGGGTTTTTTAGATCCGTAAAATGAGGCAATTACTTCACATCATCTCTAAGGCCCATGTGGACGGACCTTACCTGATTCTCATTTGAACACTGTCTGAGATGGCATGGTGATGCAGATATATGCAAATCAGCTACAACCCTGAGCCAATCAGAGGCTTTCTTAGTGTCCTTGTGTGCCCGGAGAAGTCCCGGTGGGTCCCCTGAGCGGCTGCCAGCTGGACAAGCTCTTGGTGCAGAGACGCCAGCTGGGTCAGGATGGCCTCGGGCCACCAGAGCCGGTGTCTCCCCTCCCCGCCTACTCCCTCCAGACCAAGAAAGGGCCCCACTGAAGAGAAGGCTGTTGGTTTCCACAGGCTTCTTTCCTTCCTTCCCCGTCCTGGTCATCTCCACACAGGCGGTGGTCCCTGGAGCATAAGCGAGCCCCTCACCACGCAGGAGCCCCTCGGCCCCCTTCCTCCCCGCCTGCCGCTGTCTGCAGACCGGCTCGCACCGCACGAGGCGACCAGGCCACCAAACACTTACTGGAGCAGTGTCGGAACTCGAAGCGGATGTGCGCGCCCCTGAACTTGTCCACGGGGATGGGGAGCTTCAGCAGCTCCGCCCAGCGCGGGCTGTTGTTGTGGTAGAGCACGAAGGAGTGGTACTCGCTGGCCAGCGGCTCCCCGGAGCCGAAGGCGATGAAGTCCTGGCGGAGGAAGCGAGCAGGGTAAGTAAGGGCCGCGCGCCGAGGGTGCCCTCGACAGCAGCGGGGCCGCCGCCCAGCTGA